CAAATATCTACTACGGGTTTAATATTTTATTTGATGGGCAGTGCCGTATTATCCATAAGGCACTTTAGGCCAGTGCCTAGGGGCCCACTATGACCAGGGGCCCAGCACTCCCGATTAAAAAATGAAAAAAAAAAAATGTTAAAGATTATTTTTATGCAACAAAACTCAAACCACCTCAAAACATCGCTTAATTTTGATTTACACATTCAATCGTCATACATATTTCGATATTGTGGAAACTAATTCATTTTCGTAACATTGGTATTACTGCTTTGGTTTACATGACAGGTCGACCGTTGATGCCCTACAGAGGCTAAAAAGCCTCACTGCAGAGGCTAGGGAGAGGGGTGAGGGTGTGTTGACTGTATCATTCGATATAGCCAACGCTTTCAATACCATCCCTCATTCCACCATACTCGAGGCACTTCAACATCACAGAGTGCCTCAGTACCTTCGAGGGCTACTGGCCGATTACTTACGGGTCCGCGAAGTCCTGTCGAGACGGCCAGCTCAAACGACGCGGCGTAGCCAGCGGGGTTTCGCAGGGTTCGGTGCTCGGTCCACTCTTGTGGAACCTTCACTAGGCTTCAACTGGCTCCTCCGGGGCGTCCTTCTCGCGGGCATGAGTGTCATATGCTATGCGGATGACACTCTGGTCACTGCTCGGGGGAAGACATTTGGGACCGCGGCACGGCTGGCGTCGGCGGGCGGCACATTAGTCGATCACAGAATACGACGCCTCGGCCTGAAAGTCGCGCTGGAGAAGACTGAGGCCCTCTTCTTACCGGGGCCTCGCGAGCACACCCCTCCCGACGCCCACATTGTGGTTAAGGACGTTAGGATTGACGTCAAAGGCCAGATGAAATATCTGGGCCTCACGCTTGACGGGAGGTGGCATTTTAGCCCACACTTCAACGGGCTAGCGCCATGCCTCCTCAAGGCAGCTGGCGCACTGAGTTGGCCCCTCCCGAATTTGGAAGGGCCACAAACGAGGTGTCGTCGACTTTATGCCGGCGTTCTGAGGAGCATGGTGATGTATGGCGCCCCAATCTGGGCGGACGCACTCAACAAGAGGCCCCAGCGGGCCATAGCGCAGAAAGTCGCAAGGACCTACCGCACGGTAGGGCACGCTGTGGCGTGCGTCCTCGCTGGTACTCCTACTTGGGAGCTAGAAGCTGGGGTCTTATCTGTCATCTATCACTAGATGGCAGACCTGAAGGCGCGTGGAAAGCGCCCGGCCCCGGAGCGGCGCGGCGCCGTCAGGCAGGAAGAGCGCGAGATCATGATCGCCCGCAGGAAGGAAGACATGACTCGTGCGCAGTTTGCTGCCGCACTCTGGACGACAATGGTTGGAACGACCGCACGAGTTCCTCACGTTCCGTCTGGCGCAGGTGCTGACCGATGGCTGCTTCGGTTCGTACCTGCATAGGATCGGGCGAGAGGAATCCCCGCTGTACCACAAATGCGGCGCGGCGGATGACACGGTGCAGGCGTGCAGCACACCCTCGCGGTCTACACAAGCTGGGAGGAGCAGCGCCGTGTCCTCACTGCGGTCGTGGGCCGGGATCTTTCGCTTCCGAGCCTGGTCAACGCCATGCTGGGAAGTGAAGGATGCTGGATGGTGGTCGCCTTTTTTTGCGAAGAGATAATCCTTAAGAAGGAGGTAGCGGAGCGCGAGCGGGTGAACGATCCTCTCGCCTCATCGCTCCGCAGGCGGAGAAGGGAGTGGAGAAGGCGGTTGTACGACCGTTCTACTCAGCCCCCAAGTGGCGGCCAGCAGGCCGGGGATGCGGGGGCATCCTTTTCACCTCCGTCTGATGGAACGGCTTGGCGTTTCGGGCCATTCCCGTCTGACCCCCACAAGGGGGGCGTTTAGGGTCCGCCGTGTAGGCGAGATGTCGCCGGTGATATTGCGGAAGTCTAAGGTTACAGCCCGATACTATAAAGCATTTCCTCCGCGACAAAAAAGGGGGGCCCGAAACGAGCTGTGCCTAGGGGCCCCGAGAAGGTTAATCCGGCCCTGTGTGCAGCGCCCCTAGCGGCTACTTTCAAGAAATAAAGTCTTCATATAATTTTTTGACGTGTTCGCTAGCGAGCTCACCTAACGTAAACTCATGGTAGGCACACCGATCTCGAAATTTCTTAGAAAATATAGGTATTAGCATCAATCATCATCATCATTATAATTTCAGTCATAGGACGTCCACTGCTGAACATAGGCCTCATGAACCGGTCATCATGGAAGTCATTGGGGGAGGCCTATGTTCAGCAGTGGACGTCCTACAGCATCATTTGGTCAAATTCAAGACAAGAAGTAATATTGTTAATGCAGAATTAACCACGACATGACTGAGAGTAATCAAAAGCCTTAAAATATTTACCTATCTTGGTAATTGTAACACAAGAACAATTAAATCTGCTTTAATATGGCTGGCACGCGTCCAGTTTAAGTGGAGCGGGTACTCAACGCCCACAAATAATATAGCTAGCGCGCATTCTTGGAAGCGGGGGTTAAAATTACTTGAGTCAATATTAGCAAATTAAATTATCTTCACAATTGTAATTTTCTTAATATGATTAAAATGGGCTTTTATTGCAGATACTTAAACGGTTAAATTAATAATGAGCATAAAATACGCATCATTTTATATGCCTCACAGCTTGACGTTTCGGCTGTGTTGCTACAGCCGTGGTCACAAGCAGGTTCTATTATTTTAATTGCAATGGAACGCGAAAGTTTAAAATCGCGTAATACGCGAAATTAAGTAATTATTTTTTCTGGTAAAAAGCACCATAGAGTTTTTTTAGTTACTTATATGTGCTTTCGCCTGTCTTATAATAATTTATGAATTGAACAGGCTACTGGAAGAACGCACCTACGTAGGTAAATACTTTGCGTAAAATTTCAACCCAATCCAATCTATCGATGTAGACAGCTCAAAAGAGAAAGAGAGAGAGAAATAATAAGATGTAAGAATAATAAATCTGTCTTTCGTTTGACAGATGATTTGACGACTCAGCGTTAGCGTTTGTGACTTTTTGCTTTTTTATACTTTCAGCGTTTTTAGAAAGGGTAGCGTCGTATTCGCTAGAACCTTTTCTGGGACTTTTTAATAAGATACGAGCATCATTGTAGATTCTAAATGTTCTAATATAGTTGTCACTAATTTTCTAATTAGATAGAAAAATTACACAGTTGTTACGAGTTGTTTAATAGATGCTAGATAGGTGTCACCCAAGCTAAGAAGTTAAGAAAATGTTATGTCTCTGAATCTATACTAATATTATAAATGCGAAAGTAACTCTATCTGTCTGTCTTGCTTTCATGCCTAAACCACTGAAGCGATTTTGATGAAATTTGGCATAGAGATAGTTTGAGTCCCGGGAAAGGACATAGGATAGTTTTTGACCCGGTTTGTGAAACTGGGACACGCGCGATAAAGTTTCTCTGTGACAGCCAAAATTCCATGCGGGCGAAGACGCGGGCGGAAAGATAGTTAAATATAAAATTAAAACTTTATGACATTGTTGAAACCCAGTTAATCCTAAATCTCAAAAGTTTCGCCTGTGTCACTTCTAGAAGATTTTTACTTTATTATTTCCAATACAAATTATGTCCCATTTTGTCCTGATATCCATTTTTATAACAAAAGGTCATACTCATATGTCATTTTATGCCAAAAGCAGATCTAATATAAAAAGCTTTCAGGATATCAGCGTTCAGAAATAATTCAATTACACAGTTGGATCTTTTGAATTAGGAATAGGGTTGAGATAACTTCGCCCGGATTCGATATTCTCGTCGAGTAGTCGACTTGCTCGAAGTACCATTTTAATTTTGTTAAACCCTATTGGTTCCAGTAAAATTGTTATTGATTTATCGAACTCTCTAAAACTTTCGAGAGAGGACGGATTTGTAGAAAATGATTTATAGGCAGTAAAAAGGAAAGGACTATCTTTCTAGATGCTAACAAAACAAAATAAACCACGTTTTGAAAATTTTCATGAGAGATAGTACACACAGGATGAAATGATTAATAAATTACTTATTGAACATTTTTATTAGATGCGCTTAATTAAATATTGTCGATTATCTAAAAATACGGGGTCTTGTAACGATGAGTTGAAGGTAGCTTTATGAATAAGGCATAAGTAAAGTTGCCGTAATGAATACGACATTTATATTACTTTCCATCCCGAAGCAGTTGCTTTGATTCGATGTTATCTTTTAACATTCAATCAATTCTAATTTATAATGTTAAAACATAATACACATTTCTCTTGAAATCCTACCTAGAAATAATTTAACTTTGATCAATTAAGAATTTAGTCTTACGTAGCGGAATTAATAGTAGTTTTATAGTAGTTTTATTTTTCCACAAAAACGGCACGGTAGGGGCCGTCCATATATTACGTCATTCTAAATTAGGGGGGGGGGGACCTCTTTTTTGTCGATAAAAAAAAGGTCTAGTTTCACCTAATTTCATATGTACACTTTAACGTGACTCACACTGTATAAACCTTCTTTATGAATCACTCTATCTATTAAAAAAAAAAGGTGATTCTATAACCAAGTGTTTTAATTTTGTAATGACGTCAATTTTGGGAGAAGGGGGGGGGGGGTCATTAAGAAATGACGATAGGATGATTGTAGGGGGGGGGGGTCTAAAATCTGAAAAAATCGATGACGTAATTTATGGACGGCCCCGTACTTCGTAGACGAAGCAAGTTTCGGGTGTTCCCCGAAGAAACCGCTAAGCTTTAATTCCATTTACCTACCGACCTAAATTAAGAGCTACAAAGTTTTTACTGATTCTCTGAACTCGCTCTAAACCTTGGTCGTTTATAAAGAGCAAATGAAATACATGAAACATAGACCTGGGCAACAAACAAAATGCGAGTAGTTGTAAGAGGTTTTCCTTTGAAACGTCCGAAATGAAAATGGAAATTCAAAGTTAGGCTGGGGGTTTGTTAACATAGTCACAACACAGCTATGGTCCAGCGGAAGGTCATGACCTGTCTAAACGTACGAGTGCGTACCTTTTGTTTCTCTCTGAATTCCTTTATAATTTTTAGTTCACAATCGCTGTCGCTCGACTCGCTGCTGGATTTGCTGTAGCGGTTGTATCCGTAGCGAGACATGGCGGCGGGTCACTGATCTCGCTTGGATACGCTCGATGTCGCAACACTATCACTGATTCGAAATTCGAACTTTTCCGGTCAAATACCGACCGGTCACACGGATTCGATGAGCACAATGTCAATGCCTTGATGCAACTTGGTTGCAACGTATAATACCTGTGGTCATTATTAATGGTCAATTAGGCAAATTAATTACACTCGATTAATTCTGAGCGTCATTTTCGGTGTGTCATTTGGTATTTAATTAATAGACATTGCGCTCTTTTACCTTATCAGTGTCCCAATTTAGTTTGGCAATGGGATATTGGTTGTGTGATTGAGAAATTTCCGAATGCATAAAATTATGACTGTTATCAATGATGAAAAGGGAAAAATAATCCTAATGTCCAAATCAATACATTTTAGACTCATTCTGTTCATAATAATCAAAATATTAAAAGGTATAAAGAAGCCTACAATAAAAGTGGAATTAATTATCTTTCTAGAATCACACAATGTAGAGGAGTCGATGTAGAGAGATGTCGACAAGAATATAATAATGCCCATGCCGTGTCGGAAAATTCCATTACATCTTCTATTATATCTAAAAACATATAAGAAAATGGCAAGCCTTTGATTACGACGATTGAGCTGTAGTATTTGCGTGTAAATAGTTATGTAAATAGTTAACCTGCGGAGCTGTGTCATGCAAAATTACAGGCACTGTGACAATTACCTAGAAAGGGTACCGTGATTACGTGCCACCTCACTAGGTCTTGCTTATTTATCACACCACTAATAACTCGCTTTGTTCGTGCTCAATTTTAATATTATGCACAGACGACATCAATATTATCAAGCCTGTGCCACTTTATTTACTTGCAATAGGTGCTACATTGAAATAAAAATGTATCTATGTGCTTAAGACACTCAGATATAAAATAAACACATCGGAGCACTTATCATCATCATCATCATCATCCCAGCCATAGGACGTCCACTGCTGAACATAGGCCTCCCCCTGATCTGAGCATCCCCCAATGCTTTCCATGTTGCCCGGTTGGTAGCGGCCTGAGTCCAACGCTTTCCTGCTACCTTTATGATGTCGTCGGTCCACCTTGTGGGTAGTATTTTATACTTAATATTTTACCCCACACACTATAACCATTAATTGTAATAGGAATAAATACCCTAACTTT